AATAACAAATCTTTCTGGGAAAATAATAAAAAATACTAATAATGAATAAATGAACCAAATAAAGTGACCCACAAACGTTACATTATTTGTATATCTTACTTTGATGAACATATTTGCTGTTCACAGTTTATCTTTATCATTAATAATATTCAAGATAATAACCAAAAACTGAAAAATTCCTTAAAATTACCAATTTAGTGGCAGCAACCCAACAATGCACTGTTAGGTTCGTCTGAAAATTTCATGGCTGATAAAACTTGGCCTAATGAACATTTTAACCTCTCATCAGATTTGCTCTAATTGCTTAAGTGTTTGAGATATATTAGCCAACAACTGCATTTTACCCCTATGTTTTACTTTTAGCCATAGCGGCCAAGTTTTTTGACGAAACAGAAAATAAAACACAATTTTTATTCTACACGTAGATACCCTAAGGATCATTCAGCTTAAGTTTGGTTGGAATTTGTTAAGTAGTTTTAGAGGAGAAGATTTTTTTAAGTTAGAAAACATGATAAACAAATTGTGTAAAATTGTCCTCAAAGGGAAATACTCCTTAAGGGGTCAATTGACAATTTTGGTCATTAAACTTATTTGTAGATCTTACTTTGCTGAACATATTTGCTGTTTACAGTTTATTTTTATCATTAATACTATTCAAGATAATAACCAAAAACTGCAAAATGTCCTTAAAATTACCAATTGAGTGGCAGCAACCCGAGAATGGGTTATTAGATTCATCTGAAAATTTCAGGGCTGATAGAACTTCGCCTAATGAACACTTTTACCCCATGACAGACTCTTTTGGTTTTTTAGATATAAGCCAAAAACTGCATTTTACCCCTATGTTCTATTGTTAGCCATGGTGGCCATGTTTTTTGACGAAACAGAAAATAAAACTTTATTCTATATACCCTAAGAATCATTCAGCTTAAGTTTGGTTGGAATTGGTTCAGTAGTTTCAGAGGAGAAGATGTTTGAAATAGTTTACACCAGACGGACGACGACGACGACAGACGACGACGGACGCCAAGTGATGGCTAAAGCTCACAGTTGCTTCGGAACGGTGAGCTAAAAATCGTTTCTGTCTTTCCAAGCCTTGCCGGCAGAAGGTCTTTCTTTCTAAGAAGCAACATTATGCAACGTAAAAACTTATTCTTTATTAACTCTGTTCATGAACTAACTGTGCGAATACTCAGAACGGGCCTAAATTACGGTGGATAAATTGGTTTGTGTCTACTGTTATTATAGACAAAGTTTCTTGTATATACCTCTTTCTTCACTGGTACGGTCAACATGTGATACGCCTTTTGAATGACCAAGGTAGAAGAGCAAGCCTTAATTTTCATTTTCCTTCACCAATGAAATTTCCGAAAAGGTATCAGACAAGTCGTACAGTTTTGAAAAGTCTCTATTCGTAATTCTTAGAATGACAACTTTTTCCCAGATCAGCGTAAGAGCACATGACGGAATGTTTGTGTTGCAGATTTAATGCTGTGCGTTTAAGACTGCTGTCCAGGCCATTTGACTAAAATGTCCATTTTATCAATAGAATCTGCTTGCCTTTCGTGAACCATCTTTCTAGAACGGCATTTTCAAACAGGATAAAACCAGATGCGGATCCAAGATTTTGAAAAAAGGGGGCCACGCGGGTTCCCAAAACTAGACAAAGTTTGGAGTGGAACAGGTAAAAAGTCCGGTTTTAATGTCTAATAATTTTAAAAAGCAAAATATCAGATACAAAAAGTCAACATAAAGTCTTCAACAGTATACAGGTGTATATAAATTATAAATGGAGCTCCAAATTCTCTAAATAACAAAAAAAAATAATGTCATTTATGGCGGGATTCAAGTAAGTGGATCAGATCGCAACCCATTTTCATCAATTTCATCGTATATTCTCTTTTATTTAGTCAGTCCACCGATTGCATTGGACTCACAAAAAGTATAAAATAAATGAAAACGCTTATATACAAATCAATAGAAAACAAGTAAACCGTGTCGAAGGACACTCTACAGAAGATTTCATCCAGCAACGTTATATTTTATTTTGTAATACATTTGAATTTTCAATTTGCCAAATCAGGATGCCATAAGAACATATAAGTGCATATCACACAGTCGCTAACACCAAATGTAGCATTAGGTTTCATTGTGTTTGTTTCTACATTTGTCCATTACACAAAAATATCACTACAGTAACACATGCTGATTTACAACGGCATTCAGACTAGCTAACTGTCAGTAACTGCGAGTACTTTCAGATCTGCACTTAATATCTTTTTGTTGTGGGGATGTATAAATACCCTGCCACTGATTTTTACAGTTTGCTCATATGTTGTGCTGTTATACCACTGTCCCAGGTTAGGGGAAGGGTTGGGCGCTAAAAACATGCATAACCCCGCAACATTCTATATGTGCCTGTCCCAAGTCAGGAGACTGTAGTTCAGTGCTTGTCGTTAGCTCATGTATGTCATTTTTGTTTTATGTAAATTGTTTTGTTATAAATTAGGCCGTTAGTTTTCTCAAATGAATTGTTTCATATTCTTTATGTCGTGACATTTTATCGCTGACTATACGGTGTGGGTTTTTCATTGTTGACGGCCATACGGTTTTCTATAATTGCTTACATCCATTTCATCGGAAATGTGGTGGATAGTTGTCTCAATGGCAGTTATACCACATAGCCTTTATATATATTTATACGTTTTGCATCTGTTTAAGAGGGATGTTCTGAAAAGAATTGATGATCGTGGGAAAGTTATATTTTTGTAAAAATCAAACTATGTTATTCGAGACTAAATGTGTAAAAACATTTTTTTCATTCAAATAAAATCAAGGTTGTTATTTCCTTTCAGTGATGCATAGGCGATGGAACAGAAAGGTTTAGGGGCAATTGTCTTTTTACGGGAACCTGCATTATATCACGACTTTATAGATAAACATATTTTAACGTCACATATACGGCCAGAGACAGTATTAGGTCGATTTTAATACGATCAATGCATATTTGTCTACGCAAAAAGCACAATTGCAGTTTAAAAGGTAATTTCATAACAATGTGCCATAAACAGGTCTTTTTTTCCTTTTTAAATACGGTGGATTTGAAATACATTTGTCGACGCTCATAGACATTACGTCATATTTGACACAGTAATGATAACTTTGAGTAATATTGGTTGAAATACACATGATGTTCACTAAAATAAAATATTTCTAATTCATAACGTAATGGCAACATTTTAAAAGTATCTGATTTATTGCGTTATCATTACAGATAGGCCTTTTGTAATAGTGATAACAGAACCGATTGTAGCAGAATACCAAACACGACATACCATAGAATGTAGCGTAGAAGCCTCTCCTAATATCAGCTCCGTAGAGTGGAATACCACAACCGAGGCTGGAACGAAAATCCTTTCATCTGATGAAAACAACTTAGGAAAATATTTGGGATCTTCAGTTACTTCTCCGTCACTAGATATCTTAATGGCAGATTTTACGGACACGGGCCAGTATATATGTACAGCTGAAAACATCTTTAAGGAAACGTCACGTACTGTAGTTGATATACAAGTGTATGGAAGTGAGTAATTTTGTTGTCAAAAGAATAGTGAGTGTGTCAGCATGAGTCTTTATTTTATTTAATTATTTTATTTTGCTGACTGCTTCGTCTTCTCATTACAGAATTGGTAACGAACATTATTTGAAATTGACGTTCTTTTACTGGATAATCAGACTTTACACTATAGAATTTTTTTCCTCAGATTGACTTAGCGATTAACTTTTTCGTGTATTATTTCAGTTTCACTGACAGTTTCATTTACTAATTACAAAATTGTTTACGGCAATGGAATTGAATTGGAATGAAATGTTACTGGAAGGCCAGACATTACAAAAGTAACTTGGAGTATGCAAAAAGAGACCGAGGAACATCAAATTAATATGACGAACATATTGAAATATAACGGATCAACGTTGTTAGAACCATCTCCTACGATATATAATGTGAAATTTGAAGATTATGGGATTTACTTTTGTGAAGTAGGGAATAGTTACGAGAATAGAACAAGTCTGGAAGTCACACTTACAGTTACTAGTGGTAATTATTGCTTATACTTGAGGATGTGGATGGGGTTTACAGAATGGAGAATAAAGGACAAAACGTGCAGAATAAAGAGCAAAAAGTATAAAGAATAGAGTAAATAGGACAAAAAAAAATTAAAGAATGCAGAACTGAAGGACCCCTCTCATTCAGACCCTCATTCTTCCATTTACATTGCCGTAAAATGCGAAAATGTCTCAAAATGCAAAAATGAATCATCTGAAAAATCGATGTTAATGACTAATTTCTTAATGTAACTGTTTTAAGGAAATATTTACGCATTTGACTGTGCATGATTTATGTTGCCATGACAAAACAAGCAATTTTTAAGTGTATTCTTTATATGATAATATATCATGATGTGTCATCAAGTCATGTGATCGTTTGCTATTCAATCATATTGTCAAGTTTCTATGATACCCTCTTACAATGAAAAAATGCAATTACAAAAGCATAGAGAGTCTTTTTTTATATTTTGCATTATTCGGACATTTTTTATTCATAAACATTTTGAAGGTCATCTATTCAAATATTCCGTCATCAACTGGCATTTGGTGGTAAAGTGTTGTCCGTCTGCCGCAGGGCACAAAACTATCGCGCGCTTACTTAATAACGACAAGTGCCATTAGTTGAGCAGGCACTTCTTGGTTTGTTCAGATTTATATTTCTCGATCTTTAGTTTTTTGTCTAATGTAATGTGGAAGGTGGAATGTCGTTTTTCTTTAATTTTTCTTTTTACCATTATGTTGTCTTTCTTTCATCAACTTATGGTTTAGGTTTTCACTTATGTTATATTTAACTATTTAGAAATATCATTTGTTTTACTTTAATTCCTTTACTAACAGATCCAACTTTGTCGCCCACTACACCTCAAAATGCTGTAACTACATTTCCTTTAATGACGTCCACTACAACGCAAAATCCTGGAACTACATCTCCTTCAACGACGTCCACTTCATCTCAAAATCCTGGAACTACATCTACTTCAACGACGTCCACTACAACTCAAAACCCTGGAGCTACATCTCCTTCAACGACGTCTACTACAACTCAAAATCCTGGAACTACATCTCCTTCAACGACGTCCACAACAACCCAAAATCCTGGAACTACATCTCCTTCAACGACGTCCACTACAACTCAAAATCCTGACACTACACCTGCATCAACGACGCGAACTACACCAACAACGACTACAAAACCTGGTAAGTAGTTATTGTAATCTTTGTTTTTCTTTTTAGTACGTTTATAGTAAAATAAAATTTGGTAAATTCTTTAATTTGTTTACGGTAAAAATAAGAGGGAAATGTACATATTCAAGTTTCAAATAATAGGAAAGAAAGTGAAGTAATATATTTTTCATCTAGAGGCGTCGATGCTTCATCCAAAATGTCCAACAGCACTTGCATTAGTGTGACTTTAAACTGATACAATTTACGTGCATCTAGCATACAAACTTTTAATCCTGGTATATATGATGAGGTTATTTACAATCAATTATATAAGAGAAAACGGATAAGTTTTAATATTGAATTGAACGATTAAAATAGTAGGCCAAAAAGTATTTAGGATTTCTAACAATGATCGTATCTACAGAGATTATTATTATTATTGATATGGATATTAGACGTCTCTGGGATGTATAAATTTAGCATGTGACATGTTCCAATACATTTATTTGCTTTTAAACATAAAAGCAGATTGCGACCGAAACATCGTGTTTAGCGGTTTTTTTTATGGAAATATGATATTTAAGTCTTAATAATAAAAGGCAATTCTTACAACACCCAGAATGTGTAGGAATTTATCTGGAACAAAAGTTTTGCGTAGCCTGAAGGAATAATATAGAATTAGTTTATTTATTTATTCATTTATTTTATTTATTTATATATTATTTATTCTTTATAAAAACAAGATTTTATCTCTTTTACCTCGTTTTTTAAATGTTGCGTTTGTTAGGACTGAGTATGAACAACATGCGCCATTGCAATGGTGAGGATCAAGTCCTTTTCAACATACGGATTACTCTATTATCCACGTTTGCAAAAGCTCAATATAACGTGGACAAGACAACCAGTCTAGTTTGCCTTTTTATAACTTTTAAAATTATATTTTGCAGAGGTGATTTCATGCAAATGTCCATGCAGCTCTCTTGGAATTGGGGCAAGGCAAGATCTATCCAACTATACCATAAATGAACTTCTCGAAAAGTTGGCTACTCAACTGGCAAAAATAGAGAAAGAATTATCCGTTGACAAATCCAACTTGTCGGCGACGATTAATAAAAGGATAAGTGCAAAAGATGAAAGAAAGTCTTCTCAGTCCATTGGCATTCTTGGAATAGTCTTCATTGTTTCGAACATATTGGGCGTCGTTATCATAAATTTGATGTCAATTGTGAAATTGATGAAGCCTAAATTGAAAAAAGGAAAAACTGATATTTCACAACCAGAAGAACGTTCCGAATAGATGATATCATTTAATGGATCATATAAATCTGACTCCATATTTCAAGTTTTAAGCAAGATATTTAAACGTGTTTTTTTTCTGAACGGGACACCTTTTGTTTTGATTTTTCAAGAACGATCAGTTAATTTAGACTTTTTGGAATATACCTTGCAGATTATTTCATTAGGTGGTTAAAAGTTCCCCCTACTTGTTGTTAAAACTATATGTGTCTGTCTTTAATTATAGAATTGCATGCTGTGTGTTTTTTTTTTATAATTTATACTAAATGATTATAATCACATTTTGCATGAACAGCGGAAGCGCTTCTAGCTAAAAATGTGATTGTCACTTGCATTCATTTATTACAATTTAAAAAAAAATCAAACAAACCATTCAGGTATATGTTTTACAGATCCCTTAAATAAAATATGTAAATGTAATATCATTTCGAAATCTTAAAAGTAAAACTAAACACAAACTTCCATAATCATTATCTATGCATACCATTCGATAATAATTTATTGAGCAATTTTAAAAATCATCATATGCACAGGTACACGAACAATGTATGAACAGTATTTTGACTAATTAGGTTGTGGAGCTTATTATTTTATAATATTGTCCTTGGCTGCATTCATACACCTAAATTTCAATCTTCATTTCAATGCAAGTGATGTACTCAAAAGATTCGTTTTAGGCAATAAACGATCAGCATTTATGTCAACATTACGCACAAGGTTATGATTTTAATAATTTACAATTTTCACTAATTTCACGATGTCATTTTGCATCGGCAATTTATACTGATAAAGAATAAATGTTATCTGTAATATTTTTTAACTTTTTGTGTTGTTGTACACTTTTTAGACGTTTATAGATATACAATGATATGACTTTCATCAAAAGTTTATCTCCAAAATTATTAAGGTTATTTTCATGAGGTCCGCTATTCTTTTTTTTTAATTTTTTGTATATATACAATTCTCAATTACATGTATTTAAGAAATGAATGCTTCTTTTTGTCAATTTTTTGGGGTGTGAAAGTGTTGACCGAAGCACATTTTGTATGAAGCGCGGACGCGAGCGTGTGCACGATCAACCCTTTTACACCCCAATAAAATCGGAAAAAGAAGCATTCATTTCTTATAACTACATTTTTATGCTAATAAGACCATGAAAAAAATTTTTACCAGGTTTTTATTATTTCAGCTGCGCACTTTTTTTTTGTAGAAGCACGTGTCATCACGAATGTTACATTTCATTTTGATATGAAGGTTAATTTTTGAATGACGCACGATTGTTGTTTGCCAATCAAAATAACGAGCTCTTGTAAAACATACATGTAATGTAATTTTTCCCAAATGACGTTTCGGTATTGCCCTCATATGAGGTGAACATCCAAATTATTAACCCGATATGGCCTGTCTTCCCGAGGGCTTCATGAAACCATAGTTGTATATTATAATTTTTGATTCAAGAATTTTAACTAGAATTCATACCAGCGCTATAAATTATGAAAGTGTATAAAACCTGAGCCAAGGAAACAGCTGTTTGCACATCTTTGCACAATATTTTGTGGTGCTGATGAAAAAACGATAGCGTTGATAATAACTATATTATATATGAGAAAGAATGATGATTAGTGCCCTTTTTTATGAGGCAACTCATTCTGATGAAGGATATTTTTTATCCTAAATATTTGTTGATTTTTGATAGTGTTGTATCCTTTTAAGGCGTACATCATTACTATTAATTTTTTACATTCCATAATATTAATTGTACCTATACTAACTATATGAATGGTTTCAATCGCTTGGTTTATTTTGTGCACTCCCGATTTCACGATAAAATTTATCATGCACTGTTAACAACCTTCGAGCAATAAATTCAAACTATTAAAATGAAATATCAGGAAGATTGTCCAGATGTATAATTTTGTGTGGAGCATCGAAAGAAATAATAAATACTGGTGTAAACATAACAATACATGTTCCTGAGTTATCCTTTTTTATTTTATTATTTTTATTTTTGTTACAAGCTCAACACGAAATTTAGTGCAGATTAAACGAAGTGCCTATATGTATTTTCCATTGAGTTCTAATGTATCAATTAAAAAAAAACTCACCATGTTTTTAAAAGGTGACGAACAGATATATTTCAAATTGGAGTCTACGGATAATTTTTGACATGAGAAACAATGCATAATATTATGTCTTACCTAGATATCAGTTTTTGCTGAAATACGAGCTCTCCGAATTTAAGCATTTTGGGGGATATTTTGAAAACAGAGGATGACGAAGTAATTGTAAGACCATAGATTTATTAAGGTTACATATTCTATGTGAATATATTTCATTGTTATCCAAACACGTTGAAAATGTTTTTTTGGTGTTAGGTAGATATTTCCGTTGTGCATCAGGCAATTCATTCTGACGAAGGATATTTTGTATTCGAAATATTTATTGATTTTTGGTGGTGTTGTACCCTTTTTAGACGTACATTATTACTTTTCATTCTATAATATTAATTGTCCACACCTATATGAATGGTTTTAATTGCTTGTTTTATTTTGTGCACTTCCTATTTCACGATCTTGATAATTACTATAGAGACCATCAAGTTTATCATGTACTATTAACAACCTTCAAACAATAAATCCAATTTATTGAACTGAAATATCAGAAAGAGTGCCTAGTTGTACATTTTTGTGTGGAGCATCGAAAGAAATGATAAAAAATTTGGTGTAAAAGTTCCTTGGTTGTCCATTTTTATTCTAATTTTTAGTTTTTGTTACAAGCTCAACATAACATTTAGTGCAGATTAAACGACATGCCTATATGTATTTGACATTAAGTATTACTGAACCAATTTAAAATTAGGAGATAACTGTATTGTATTTTAAGCTCCGACGGCATCAATTGGTGATTTGATGGTTGCAAATTAAGTTTACTGGCGACGCGCTAGCGGAGCAAGAAAACGGATATTTGCGACCATCAAATCACCAATTGATGCCGTCGGAGCTTAAAATACAATATTGTTATCTCTATTCTAATGAAACTGACAGAAAACAACTTCAAGTCATACATTTAAAATCTGTCATACGTCGTCTGCGCGTGCGCGTACGTTTTCATGGCATCAATTGTAAATTGATGCCTTGAACATTAGTGACGTTATCCAATCAAATGAATGTTACAAATGATGTTGCATTAGAATTAAATTCACCATGTTTTTGAAAGGTGAACAGCAGATGTATTGCAAATTGGAGTCTATTTATAATTTTTGACTTGAGAAACAATGCATAATATTATATCCTACCTAAATATCATATTTCGCTGAAATACCCAAACTCTGAATGTTAAAGCATTTTGGAGGCCATTTTAAAACAGCGACAGAAGAATTAATGTTGACATCAAAAATTTATCCAGGATATCATGTTTTAAAAGTGTCTATCAATCCTTCTCATACTTTTAAATTGTGAGTTCATAAAAACTTTTTCAGATTTACATGGAAACATTTCTGCAGTCAGAATGAGCAAATGAAATGCTTTAAATAGAATAATCTTAGTATTGAATGCCCGGGGTTTCAGCATGCAAACCGTTTTTTTTTTAGAAAATCAATATATACGTTGTTCAATTTTCCAAGGATTTGCATTTGAGTACATTTTTGTACATTTTTTTATTAATTTTGTTTTCACAGAGGATTACTCTATACAACGAGAACGCTTTTTTACTTAGATTGTTGTGCTTGCATTTTCTTATGTTGGCGTTGTCTGTTGTGTTTTTTGCAATTTTATGTGAGTTTAACAAGAAATGGATTTTGAGGATTATTTTAAATTAGTATGAATTCATAATCGCATTGATGTTTATTTATTTATGGATTAATCTTTATTAGTATATGTAGTGATTATCTTATTAAGCATGTATATGTTTTATATACTGATTTAGGATGGTTTTTTTTATTTTGATTGATTCATATTGGTTAATGTGATGTGAAAGTTACTAATCTATTGAGATTTGGATCAATTCTTTTTTAGGGTATTACTTATGTGTGTTCCTATGTTTGGTATAAGTCAATGGGACAAAAACGCAACGATATAAATAACTAATGATAATAAACATCTATAGGGTAAACGTCCATTCTTCCATCTTTCTTCAGATGTCCATAATCATGGCAAGCTCAAGGATGCCCCGGGTTAAAAAAACTTAACATTTCAAAAATATACTATTAAAGATTTGCAATTAATACCAAAATCACTTTTGACCAAAACACATGTTGAAAATGATATCACATAACAAAGAGAGGGGCCTCGGTGGCCGAGTGGTCTAAGAAGTTCAACTGGAATTCCGGCTTCGTCCACCAAAGAAAACTGAACACCAAAAGATAATAAGTTTAATCAATCATAACAAAGATTGGATATTCAGACGTTTTTATCTTATTCACCTTCACCATTAAAAACTGGCCACAGCTACAGCCATCACCGATGAAAGTGGCATTGAATTCCAACAAACAAACAAACTGAATTCATTGTAAGGATAATTGGGATAAGCCAGCTTCCAACAACGTCAATACTATATTCTCTAAATATCATTCAATCATAGTTACAGAGAATAACATGTAAAATAGAAATAAAGATAATCATAGTTTGGTAGAGGCGAGTAAGTATACTTGTAGTATATTAAAGGGATAGAAAATGAAAACAACATGATAATGTTTATCAAGGATGACCGATTCGTTTATTATTTTTAATTGGTTTACAAAGTCTTTTTTGAAGAGAAATTTCGTTTGTGTGAAAAAGTGTATCCAGTTTTAATATATTTTAGTGTCATTAATACCATAGGAACAGCAATGTTGTCAGAAGTAACCAAGTTTTTATCAGTGACATTAATGCTGTGCTTTTGTATTTTCTTTGCGACCTATGTTTTGTAATAAAAATTGCTTCATTATTCCACCTTATTTATTACTTTATTTAACACGAAATATATGCCACGTGACGTTTAGCATCAATCAATCCGTATTTGTAGCTAATTTCTGAATGTATATAACTATTCATACTTATTTCTGAAACCACTTTGCCAATAATATAAAAACTCTGAAGAAACAATGTACATAAGGTTATGTACATTATTCCTTCAGAGTTTTTTTTTTATTATTGTCAGTTTACTTATTTTTTTTTAAAAAGATCGGAGAGCTGAGCTTAGAAATACTAGAGCCTTCCGGGAACCTTCATCGTTCACATTAATGTTTTTTGTCTAAATCGAGACGATGAAGATGAGAAGGAGGAGGAGGAGGATGGCTGGTTTACGTCTAGCGGCAAATGAAATGCATATTTTGGAGGAGAACATATTAATATTACATAGAGTACTAACCCTTATTTGTACTAGATGGACACGATGAGCCGGACGTTTAACGTGCTAATTCACAAGGTAGGCAGGAAGATTTGTCACCCTAACCAGACACATAATACTGACTCCATGTCAACCAATCTTTGTTCTTACTTCTGATTGCTGCAAGCTTTTCGGAGAATCAGCCAAAACAAATTCTGGTTTGACACGATGCAGGTTCGAACCCACGACCTCTCGCACTTGAGGCGAACATGCTACCACCGAGACGGTGTTTGCATAATCAGTAAATATAGGCGTTTTATAAGGACCAAAGTATTATTACATATCTTAAGGACCTTTTTAAATACTCTTCTGCATGATGTTTTTTCGCTTCCATTAATCTGTTCTAAAACAAAACTCAAAAACCTAGTTTTCCATAGAGTTTAAATGTGAATATATATCTGCGTGCGGTCTTTTGAATGTTGAAAGTACTGTGGAATCATTATTATTCGCTGGATACCAATTTTCATGGGTTTCGGGAGAACTGTTGAAAAACCAATTTAAATGTACAACGAATGACAAATTTTCTATTGCCTTGTACGTACACATTGGCAAAACAACGAAATTAAACATCCACGAAAATGAAAGTTTTCCTCACTCCACGAAAATTGATATCTACGAAAATAAATGAATCCACAGAAACAACTCTTGTGACATACCTGCGTAGTTTGTTTTCAATCACTTAATCTGTTTTTTTTTTCAAAGATAAGCAAAATGTATCTTCTATGGGGTTTTCAAAGTCAACATTGAAGTCCGGTGGAGACCTTATTGCATTCAAATCGGTATCATCAAAGTAACAGCATCACTTGTAAAGGACATAACCATTGACATATCTATCAAGTTTGGTTTCAATTGATTCTGAAGTTCTTGAAAATATCTGTTTACATCAGACCAATTTGATTGCCTGTTTGCCTCTTAAAGCCATAACGGACTCACCAGGACCAACACAACACTTTATGAGTCCCTTAAATGAACATGTCTAGATAATTTGTTTTCGTTTCACTTCAAATGATAATAAGAAGATGTTGTACAAATGCCTATGAGACAACTCTCTACCAGAGACCAAATGAAACAGAAATTAACAACTATAGGTTGCACTTCTGAAAATATGGACAATGCAATTTCTCATAAGAACTCCTTTGACAGCTAAAACTGTGCCACCTTTACTATGAAGTTTCGTAAAAAATTATATCATAGAATGGAAAGTTCATATGCACTTCTATTTTTTTCAAAGGTCAAAATATAGGGCTGTGCGGCATATTTTCAACATTTGTATGCCTCGAATTTCTAAGATTTTATACTTTCTAGTATACTAAAATTCTGTAACCCCCCTCCATTCACTTTTGGTCTTCCTCAGAATTCAATTTAGCAACTATCCATGTGCATTTATACTGGTAACATTCCTAAGTTATGTCGCTACGAGATGAAACAAACAGATTATATCCGGGAACCAGTAGGTAAACGAGACAAAATATCTATGAATATCAAATGTCTCTCCAAAAGAGGCTGGATTGTGAAACAGATGAATTTAAAAGTGCAACCTGTACTAACATTTATTCAAATAGAAAACTCTTTAAGAACACTTTTTCTCACAGCAATCCTTATTTATCAGAATCATAGTCTAAAAAAATCTCTGCATGTACTCTAACTTTTCATTTACAGTACCTTTAATAACCCCACCCCTGTTTCAATTTTTAAAGAATTTGAAGTCAAGACTCAAACTAATGTCAGCTTATCCTGCATGTATGTGCATGTGTTCTGACATGAAATGCCTAGAACCCGTATGAAACTACTTTGATAACAAATTGAAAGCATTTCAGAATACTATCATTAATATCTTAATAGTTAATCATTCCAACATTTAAGATTATATAAAATATCAAATCCTGCCTCTGTCTCTAGTCCCCATCTTACTGTATTCCCATTTATCTACAAAAGTTCACAATTTCTGCCTAAAATGTTCAGTTTAGAAATTTAGTCACAATAACATCATCTCTTACAGTAAATCAAACACAATTTGGCTAATACAAACTAGAAATGTTTAAACAAAGCCATATTTTTGTGTGTTTGAAGTTACCAGTTTGATATATAAATTCATTAAAAGTTTTTTTTACATTGAGAATTCCAGAAGAAGCTGAAGAATCGGATTTAAAGTTTGATTCGATGTCTTTTGCCAAATTAGTTCCACGTTCTCTGCATATGTTATATACACCTCACCATGCGAATCCAGACTAAATGATAACTTCGTAGTTTAATTTATTTAGCCTCTTTCACATTTTTTATTCGAGCGTCACTGATAGATCTTTTGTAGCTGTTCCGGACCATATGAGTATTTGAACCATACGCATATGGTCATGACCATCTGCATATATACTCATATGGTCCGACCATACGCGTATGGTCCGGGTAATTGACACGATAAACGTTGAAAAGGTGTCCTCATAAATTAATAGTTTCTAAAAATGAAATTGTGACCAATTCAAGCATATGATAGTCGTTTTTACATGATTGATTTTTAATTAAAAGAGTGAATATTACTTACAAGTAAGAATTATAGTAAAATAATTTTTACATGGTCATTATCGACTTGTCCATACGAAACTCAATAAATTACTTCAAAAAATATCTAAATGAACCGTTAAACAATAAGTAAATTGCTTAACTCACAGGCACTTTGGTCATTAAACCTTCTGTCTTTTCTTCTTTTTGTTTAAATTTCTTTTGGTGTTTAAATTGTTTTAATAAAATTATAATTTCTCAAAAATTTCTTATTGTTTTTAGCAAATTTTTTCATGTGTTTTTGCTTTTATTCATATGATCTTACAATGACAGTAAGATCGTATGAATAGGAGCAAGACAATATGTAAAAGATGAAAAAAAATCAGACAGTAACTTGTGCCGTTTTTTGTTTTGTTTTGTTCAGAGAATAAGCTTTGTGTTCCTACAAAGAAAGATCGAATTTTTCGAAAAATACCTATATGGTCTTAATACTCGCATGGTCCGGCCCGTTATCAACCAAACGAGTATGATATTCATATGGTCCGTTCATACGCATATGGTTATGACCATACGCGTATGGTCCAAATACTCATATGGTCCGAAACATAGACAAAACCCGCGTCTGGCGTACACATTTTTATGTCTAGTATCTATAATTA